TTTTTTTTATTTTGCGCACAAAAAGTATTCTCGTAGCTTCGTATAAATTGCGGATGAACCCCTGATGTCACATGAATTATTTTACAAGTCTCCTTGCTACGTTTCTGGACTTGGGAACATTTCAGTTGCGTTGCTGTCTATGCAGGGTCAGACAGCTCTCAGATTCCATCAAAAATATCTTAATTTGTGCTCCGAAGATGAACGAAGGTCTTATGAGTTTGAAATGACATGAGGGTAAGTAATTAATGACAGAATTTTTGGGTGAACTAACCCTTTAACTTGGGGACCTTTGGGAAAGATATGCAGAGAGGAAAGTTCCACAACTTATATATGAGGCATTTCCTTATTTCCTCTGCGATTGGGTCTAAGTTTTGCATCACCCAATAGACATCACTGATGTGTAAACTGATGCATTTACCCGTGTAACATCACAAAGCTTCAAAATTCAAGATCAAGAAAAAGTTGATTCCTTACGTTACAACCCCTTCAATTGTTGTACTGAACATCTTTGATTTTACTTTAATTCAAAATGTTAAATTTAGGGCAAGCGACAGATCAAAAAGTTGAAGAGTCAGGTGCCTTACCTCTCTCGTACAGATCATGTGGGGCTTTTTCCTCAGCTCAACACATTTCCTGAGCTTACAGATCTGATGGCCCATTTTTCGGTTCTGGCAACTCCTGCATTCCCCGCAGTCGATCTTGCACAGGCAGGGCATGCAAACATCGCACTGAATTCTCTTTTTCTTGTCTCTCCTCTCTTGAACTTGAAGTAAACGCAGTTGAATGTCCTCAATTTGGAGAGGAGGGTTTCCTGACTCCCTGCGCTCCAGAACTGACTCTGAGTCGCTGTCAAACGAGGACTGGGTGCTTTCTGTGCTACTGGAGAGCGACGCCGTCGCCTGAGGCCCACGGCCCATTTCACAAAGAGTGCTGTTGTAAATGGTCATGCTCAACGAGAGGAGAGAAAGCGCTCCTTCTTTCTTCATCGACATTTCAGCATCGTCAATTTCATCTTTGGTGTCCACGTCTGCAGTGCTTTCAAACTCATTTTTTTCCTTCTGGGGAGCAGTTGCAATGTTTTCAAGTGCTGGTGATTCATTGGGGGACCGACACACTTGGGAGGCTACAGTCTCACCTGCTTCCATGGAGTTTTCTGGAGTGGTTTGAAAAGAATTGTCGGGAAAGTTTATGTGTGGAACGATGAGTTGAACCTCCTCAATTTGACCTGAAACATACTTATCTGATTGTGAAGGGGAGGGAGTTGTTGGACCTGAGGAATTATTGTTGTAGGCAAAGTCCACATTATTGACAGGGTCAAGAAGGTCACGCTGCTCAACATACGCTGAGTTTGGCTGCTCGCTAGGAGCAGAGCAGCTTTCGTTTTGTACAGTTTCTGTGCCTGCTTTCACCGTCTCTTCCTCTGCCTTGTCAGTGTTGTGAACAACAGTCTCTCTGTGATCCTCCGCAGTTTGCTCTGAACTTATGTTAACGCTCTGTCCCTCTCCAGTGGGAATTACAGCACCCTTTTGTTGTCCATCACCATTAGGATCATGAACTTCTGACCTTTTAGTATCAGTATTCTGTTCCCTGATCTTCAGACCTCCCTTTTTCTTTGTAACCACTCTCCTGTAGGACTTACCTTCCCTAAGACATGAGACACTATTGCGAGGTGACTTCCCTTTCCCATTACGTTTTGACAACAAGCCATTTTGGTTCATAGAACCACGCGTGTGCCTGGATCCTTTAACAATGAGGACATTCTTGACTGTCCTCTTGCTGGGCTTGCTGACAGCAGTCCGCTGGGCCGCCTTGGCTGCCTGTTTCTTGTCTATGGCCTTCTTGATCTCGCCATTGGCTTTGAGAAAGTTTACCTTTTGCCTCCTAGTCGTGGAAGCTTTCACCCTCCTAACATTTTGCTTTTTGGATGCACAAGATGACTTCTTGGGTGCTTTGGGAGTATGAGGCATAGCTGAAGCAAGTGAGGGTGAGGGAGGAGGAGTTCAGGATAGCCGGCATGGGAAACAGTATAAAAATGACTCTGGGCAACAGTACTTTTCAGATCTTTCATGTAATGTTCCCTGTTTCGAGTAAGATCACATTGACATTTTTTCCCACTGATGACATATGGATGTATGGCTACCTGTGGAAAGGACAATTCATTATTGAATTATGTAGCATGATGTAGCATCTGATTATGTTTATTAAAGACCCCTTAAATTAAAATTGGGTTTAAAAAATGTAAATTTAGGTACAATGTATTGAGCGCACAAACACATTAGGGATATTACTGCTAATAAGACAAATCCTCATGCTTACCAAAAAGTACCATGGTATTGCATGGTTTTCACACTGTAGTGTTACCATAGCTTTTGGACACAGGCATGTTTCTTTAGAAAGTACCATGATAGTACCTTAAATATCATGGTTTATGAATATGGTAATCATTAAGTACCACGCATCTTTTTATTAGGGATACTCAAACTTTCTATATTCACATGTTTATTGGTTTCAGCTGTTTGTTTACATGTGTATATGTGACTCATCAAGTGAAACAAGTGTTTTGGCACTTAAGTTGTCGTGAGTAAAATGTAAATACAAATTAGGCAAGTGTGAGGTACGTTTGTTCTGACAAGTGGATCTAAAGACACTAACAAGTTTAAACACTGGCTCTGTCTCAAACCTAGTGAGCTCCCTACATACACAGCATCTTTGTGCGTCATAGGCTCGTGCAAAATTGCGAATCACGCGCCTACGATGCCCAAAAATGTTGTCCAAGTAGTGAACTAACTAGGTTTTGTGACAGCCGTTGTGGCTGACTAGTCGCTTAACCTTCTCACACGCTTATCTGTAACAACAGTTCGTTTCAGTTTCTATAAGCCGCTCTACTAACTTTCAAACGTGATACGAAGCAAATAATCAAACAAGGGGGCTTTATCCGTGGGTTGCTGTATTATGAACACTTTGAAGGGAGTTGAAATACTTTACATACCGGAGAGACACTGTCTGAGGGCTAATAATATTCCCCGCCTGTACGACACGACCGATCCTTCAGCATTTCTCCTCGACGGATCTTCCCTAGGCACGCGTGAATAACGTCTTCACAGAGTATCTTTGAGCTGTAACACTGACATGCTGCCACAGAGACTAAAGCACCTGATAAAAGGCAGATCCTTCTCATGTTAATCCATTCACGGCAGCTCTGCCAGGCTCGACCTACACTCTCCAGTCAACTTCAGGATGTTTAATGGACGTCGGCGTGAGGCGGCGGGAACACCCGGACTGGATTGCTGTTCTCAGGATAGTCAATCTGTGCAGAAATCAGCATCTATCCATTTTTAGGCTGCTAACTCACTGCGCTTCGAGCTAACTGCTAACACAGCTAACGCTAAATTAGTGTACTACCACGACTTGAGATGACATCAGTTTCACTATGACTATCGTCACTTCCGAGTTCACCAATCCTGTCTGAAGGAGCTTGTCTGAGAATCTGTGTTTATCAGGCATAAATTACACATATGACAAGCATATCTGTATTATATATACATCTCATGATTTAATCATCATTATTATTATTATTATTCAATTTTACTATACAGACAATAATTCCTCAAAAACGTCAGATGGATAGAAAACATATAACAATTAAAATGATCATGTTATTACTACTACTATTATTATATATTATATTATATTTATCATTATATATGAATTATTATTATTATTATTATTCAATTTTACTATACAGACAATAATTCCTCAAAAACGTCAGATGGATAGAAAACATATAACAATTAAAATGATCATGTTATTACTACTACTATTATTATATATTATATTATATTTATCATTATATATGAATTATTATTATTATTATTATTCAATTTTACTATACAGACAATAATTCCTCAAAAACGTCAGATGGATAGAAAACATATAACAATTAAAATGATCATGTTATTACTACTACTATTATTATATATTATATTATATTTATCATTATATATGAATTATTATTATTATTATTATTCAATTTTACTATACGGACAATAATTCCTCAAAAACGTCA